AATCCCCACTGTGCACCGGCATCACTCAGGCAGTCAATAAATATTTTCCAGGAGCCATCCCAGATACTCCCCGAGAGCTTTTACTTCTCCAGTCCCTCCTTGGGGAGGCCACATCGGTGCCATTCTAACGATAACTGCCTTTTATGAGTGTCTGCCATGTGCCATGCACTGTGCTAGGCATTTTATATACATAATTCCACTTAACTTTCACAAGCCACTGAGGCAGCAGTGAACTCATTTTACACCGATTCAGAAGCTCAGAATGGTGAATGACTTTCTTAAGGGGTACAGTCGGGTTTTGAACTCAGGTCTGTCCAACTCCAAGGCCAGTGCTGTTAACCTCCCCTACATTCTGTGGTCTTCCACTGGACTCAGGGCACACTGAGGTGGAGTACACATGCAAAGACCACCAAGAAACAAGAGAACTGGGGATCTGGCCTGGTGTCCAGTAACTGGACAAATGCAGCTCTTTTTAAAGGCAAACTCTTGTTATCAGTCCACTAAGTCTCAGCAGCAGACCCCAAAATAGGAACTTCTTCTGCCCCAACATAGAAAGATGGCTTTTACCTGCTCCCGGAACAAAGGCTGAGGTGGGCTTTTTCGTTTTGTTTTTTTTTATTTGTTTGTTTTCTATAATACAGACATCATCACTCTTAACAGCGACGATGACAACAGCCGCTAGCATTTTTTGAGCGCTCCGGATGTGCCAGGCACTATTCTAAGTGCTTTACTCAGACGACCTTAGCATACCCTCATGGCAGTGCTGTGAGACAGGAACTATTATTATCTCCATTCGTGTAGACGAGAAGGCGGAGGCCCTGATTGCACTTAATTGTGAAGAGGTAGGATGATCTGAGGGAGACTGCACGACACATTCACTACCTGTTGAGATCACGAGTGACCACTGTGTACCTTGCACTTGTGTGCAGGTTTCCTGTGGACTGCCCCTTCCATTCTCCTAGCTCAGGGCAGTAACGAGAGCAGTTCTTATCAAACAGATGAGAAAATAGAGGTCTGGAGCAGGTAAAGTGGCCCCCGGGGCTTTGGTGAGGATCTGTTTTCTAAGCTACCAGGGTACCAGCTTTGTAATCAACTGCTGAAGACAGATTTCTGTCCAGGGGTTTGAGGTGGAGTCCTGTAGACCCAAACACAGGAGGTAGAACAGGCAGCTTTGGAGCCATCAAAAGTACTGTGAGCCCTTTAAAAACCCTTTCTTTTAAAAAAATGTTCAAGCCTTAAAAAAAGTTATCCAGGCCAGGTGTGGTGGCTCACGCCTGTAATCCCAGCACTTTGGGAGGACAAGATGAGCAGATCATGAGGTCAGGAGATCGAGACCATCCTGACTAACATGGTTAAACCCCGTCTCTACTTAAAATATAAAAATTAGCTGGGTATGGTGGTATGCACCTGTAGTCCCAGCTACTCAGGAGGCTGAGGCAGGAGAATCACCTGAACCCAGGAGGCGGAGGTTGCAGTGAGCTGAGATCACGCCACTGCACTCCTGCCTGGGGACGGAGCAAGACTCCATCTCAAAAAAAAAAAAAATTATATAAACTTGCAAGAATATTTAACATGAAGCTCAGATGCACATGATGACAAAAAGAAATACAGTGACTGTCGAGTCATCCCAACATGTACTCTGCACTAAATGTATGTCTGAGGCTCTAAAACCCTGGGCTGCAAGTACAGGTGTGGCATATATCGTAGCATGGAGGTATCCAGCGACAGGGCTAACCTCCAGCCTCTCGCTCTTCCCCTTCTCCTATGTTTTCCTTCTGATACTTGCATTTCTAGACGCATAAAAAATGATTAATTTGGCTCCAGCTGCAGACTAGGAGGTTGTTTTGGTCAGACACCAGGTGGCTCTTGAGATAAGCCACACTGTCCTGCCAAACGACACCTTTCTTGTCCACGTAAGGGGACCAAGGGATGCTGAGGAAGCACAGATTCTCCTCCTAAGGAAAGCACCAGCATTTACCTTTGGGAGGAAGAGGGAGCTTTCCAGAGGGAGCATAACAGATTACAGGCTTTAGTGCCAGTGCCAAATGGATTTGAATACCCCTTCTGTGTCCTGGACAGTCAGCTGCACAACCTGAGGCTTGGTTCCCTGTCTGTGGAAATGGGACAGTTATGCAAATAGCTCTCAGTGCCACTGTGAGGAGGGCCAGACAGGCAAGATGAGTGACAGAACCTGCCCAGGCACCCAGCACTCAGCAGCCTGGAGGTATTTGAGCATTGTCTGTCCCCTGACCTGACCGGAACCTGGATCTGCTCTCAACAGGCCTCTCTGAGGCCACTGCAGCACCTCTGTCTCAGATGGCTGCCACTTGGTCAGGTGCTGGTCAACAAGGAGCAGGAAGGCTTTGCTCCCTCCATGTCCCGATGTGGTCCATCCACAAAGGACATCCCTCCATGAAGTCATGTTCATGGGCTTTCCTTTTGGGGCTGGGAAGGGAGTATTTGCCTTTCCCCTCCCCACTTCCTGTATTTCTATATGCCTAATTTTTTGCTATAAGAAGTTATTATGTTTCAATTGAGAAGAGTTAATAGCCACCTCCATTTCAAAGGGCAAAAATGTTAAATTTCTACTAATTCTTTTCATTTTAGCCCTTGGATGGTTTTAAATCTCTGTTTATTCATCTTCCTGAATAAAGGATATTCTGGAATTTCACAGCATTATTTAGCATTCTCATATTCTATCCTGTAATTTCAACCCCTGTCATTGTCTTCACACAAAGAAAAACAGCAAAGTAGACATCTCCCTCTGGAATGAAAGCCTGGACAATAGTGTTTACGTGCCTGCCCAAGGTGAGTTTGAAAATAAAGAAAATATAGCAGTTTGATTCCTCCTAGCTCCACAGTACTTTCCAATACCAAATCAGCTTCCTCACACATCAAGGTAATCTGCAAAGGGAAACTGACAGTCAGCATAAGTGGCTGCTTAAAGCATTTCTTTGCACATATGTTCCTTGTTGTTTTTAAAACAAAGATGCAATTAAGAAAAATGTATGCAAATAAAAATTGTCTAACTCAATTGTATACACATTAGGAAATTTACGTACTAAAACACTGTCATAATTTTTAAGAGCAAAAAAAAAAAATCCTGCAATTCAATAATCTCTTTCTAATTAAACTGTTTGATTGGCTGATTTTGGTCTATACTGGATTTATAAAAAATAAAAGTCACCTTTATTAATCTTGACTGCTTGGTAATCCAGCAGAATAATTTGAGAATCTATTTGCTAACATGTCAATTTCCAGATGTCATTTTTGAAAAAAAAAGAGAATTACTGCATTTGTTTATTAAAAAGGTAATCCCATCACAATTCTTCACTAAGGTCTTAAAGACTAAAAGTTATTTGGAACGCTGTGATTTATTCTGCCTGAGGAATATATCAGGAAAATGTGATCAAGTTTTAGAAAGTATCCAAAGGATTATAAATGATTCTACTATAAAGACACATGCACACTATGCTTATTGCAGCACTGTTCACAATAGCAAAGGCTTGGAACCAACCCAAATGTGCATCAATGATAGACTGGATAAAGAAAATGTGGCACATATACACCATGGAATACTATGCAGCCATAAAAAAGGATGAGTTCATCTCAAAAAAAAAAAAAAAGGATGAGTTCATGTCCTTTGCAGGGAGGGAACATGGATGAAGCTGGAAACCATCATTCTCAGCAAATTAACACAAGAACAGAAAACCAAACACTGCATATTCTCACTCATAAGTGGGAGGTGAACAATGAGAACACATGGACACAGGGAGGGGAACATCACACACTGGGGCCTGTTGAGGGGTGAGGTAAGATTAGGGGAGGGATAGCATTAGGAGAAATACCTAATGTAGATGATAGGTTGATGGGTGCCGCAAACCACCATGGTACATGTATACCTATGCAACAAACCTGCACACTCTGCACATGTACCTAGAACGTAAAGTATAACAACAACAAAAAAAAGACAAAAAAGAAAGTATCTATCTTCTAAAGAAAGGGGATCCCTTCCTAAGGTGGTATCACCCTCACTTTTCACAATGGGACATGCACACAACATGAAATTTCTGTACCCAGGCATCTGGAAAAACAGTCAAGCAGGCATGGCACGAAGTCCTTCAGGGTGTGCTGGAGGGCGGGGCTGGCCATCTAGCTATGCAGTCACATTGAGCCATGAGATAATCACCTCAATGATTCCACAGAGAAGTGTAGGTACCAAGATGTGGATATGGGGGGAACCTTGAAATGTGATAAAGGACTATGCCACCAGCGTGTCTCTGGAACCTATGATCGGGCAAAGTTCTAAAGTAGACAGTCTGTGTCAATGGAGACTTCACAATGTCTATTTCCCTTTGAAGGAAGGTGAGTGCCATGTCCCAGTTTGCCTGGATAGTCCCGGTATAGGCCAATTCTCCTGGCATAACTATTCATAGTGTCTCCTTCTGCTCTTCAAAGTGTCCCGGTGTGGGTGAAGATTACACTGTCAACTCCCTTCAGGTGTGGCTCACTTACACCTCCCGGCCACCCCAAGATGCCCACAGAGCTTTCCCAGCAGAGCCCACTAGTCAAGATTTTTCTGCTCCTCCTCCTGACCCACTCCCTCAAGACCAAGGAACCCCAAACATATCCCTCCTGATTAAGATGTGTTTGAGAACAGCCTTTTGCAGACACTCACCCTAGACTAGAGGGGTGCAAACGATGCGGTAATTCAAGCCCGTATCCAACCCAGGAGGGCAGGGACTTTGACAGGAGCTGCCTTTCAGCGTTCTCCCCACACGCCACTGAGGCAGGCCTGCATTAGGGAAATGGACTTACACCAGTGCTGGGGATGGCAGATCAAGGGGGCTCTGCCCACCCTCATGTCCCCTGCTGTTAAAATCCCATCCTCCTCTGCCCCCTAAAAAGACATCAAGCCAAGCCAGTGCCTCACAGAAGCCCTCGCGAAGACAGGACGGCACTGGCCTCTGACCACGCATCTCACTCACAGGCAGATTTTGAGAGGAATGACAAGAACTTTATTCTAATATTGCATGAAATGTTTTTGAAGTAGAAATGGTTATCTGACAAAAAAATTCCTTACACTTTGACCATCTAAAAGGTTATTTCTATAAAATTATATAAATATTTCCATGTCCATATAGGAACACGTTTATGGTCCTAAAAGTTTTAAAAATCAACAGAATTAGATTCTTTAGATAATGATCAGCCGAGTCAGAAAACAACATTCCCCAAGCAAGCATAAAGAGAGGACGCAGTTACTGACGGACAGCGGAAATGTGCTGCGGGCTGGAGTTGGCGGGCTGAAAACAATGAAAACACAATCACTGGGGCGGTTGGATTTTATAAAATAAAACCCTGCAAAAACTATATGTAAAAAGTGAAACTAACCATCCAAGGTGAAGGTCAGATGACCTCCTGAATGAACTGCATTCTGAGTTGAAACAATGAATAGATCACCTGGTAGATTCGTTCTTCCAGGAGGCAAGGACCTTTTCCTTGTTTATTCTTATCAGGAAAACTTCTATTCAAGGTAGAAGGACAATTAGAGTGAAGCCTTCACAGCTGACAGACACGGCTTGTCCACTGGCTATGTCATCCTGGGCAAAGTCCTCAGCCTCTTGGAGCCTGTTTCCTTGCCTGTAAAATGCGGACAGTAATAGCTACCTTGTTGGTTGGTTGGGAAGATTAGAGGTAATCTATCGAAAGTGCTGCTAAAACTGCCCCTGGCAAGTAATGGACACTGAAAAAAGTCACTAAAACTATTTTGTGTGGGAGAAAAGGGTTTCACCCAGAATTTAATCCAACATCTACTAGTTTGCTCCCAAGGGGTTCTGTCAATCACAACCAACTTCAGAGTCTAAAACTGGACCCCTTCTGCTGCTCTGAGAGCCACGGCCAGGTAAACAGATGCTCCCTTCGGGATGCTGTGGCCACTCCTTTCCTGAAGCCCCTGTGCGTGCAGAAGGCAGGCTCAAGGAGGCTGTGCTTTCCTCCTATTTGGGCAGTACCTAATCTCCAAGCCACACAAGGCCAGGTGCTAGTGACGTGAATTCTCTATTGAACCCCGTGAGGTGACAGTCACACAGAAGACTGAAAACGAAGCTCCTGGGGCCATGCAGGGAGGCTCCTGCACACACATGTCTCCCATGGGACAAACGTTTTGAGCACCACAGGCTGGGCAGGAATATGGAAGGATGTCCTGAATTGCGAGAACCTAGACCCCACAGGAAGCCAAGTCTGAACTCTCAGGTCAGCTGGTCAGCAACAACACTCTACTGAGAAGCCCCCACTCCATGGAGAAGGGGGCTTCAAACAAAAAAAGACCTCTCCTGGACCTGAAGAATAGTGTGGCAAGCTCCCTGGCTGGGGATGTGCGAGCCAGGAAGCAGGTTCAAGCTGAAATGCACACTCTAGAGCACTGGAGAAGCGCCTGAGAGCAGCAGCAAGGACCACAAAGACATTGGTCTCGCCCTCCTAGGAGACAGGCAGGGTTCCAAGGGGTCCCCACGGACAAGCACACAGAAGAGAAAAGGAACAGACTGTGCAGGAAGAAAGCAGCAGGCACACCTGAGGTAAACTGTGGTCTCAGAAACATGATGCACACAGACAGGCGTCATCAGAAAGAGCCTGACAGTGAGGTCTGCCGTTCTCTGGAAAGGCCCAGTGAGGTTTTTTGGTCCTGATGAAACTGTTCTCCATTTCATAGCAGTCATCCTAAATACTCCAAGCGGAGGTTTGTGAGGAGGGTGACTCGCCTCTCACCTTCTACAGTACAGCCAAGGACTAGAGTCCAAGACAAAGCCCATCCTGACGGTTCAGTGACGCCAAGAGGCAGGCCAGGCCGTCTTCTCTAGGGCAAGGCCAGTTGCACTCAGACAAGGCCACGTGCTGCAGGGCAGGATGACTGGACATATCCAGGGAGTGGAAGTCCCCAAAGCTGGAGGCTAGCTCAGCCCATCCTGCTGCTGGCTGTCCCGCTCAGCTTGTGGCGAGTGGAGGCAAGGCCCTGCCCTGGCCCGCCTGCCTGGTGCCATCAGATGTACTGCTCCTCATCCCTGTCATTCAGGAGCAGAGACCACTTGTCCCCACCATCGTCCGCTGCAGTGCTGTGCCGAGATGGCTTGTCGGATGTCAGGGAGGACAGCGACACCTGGCTGACATAGCTGACCTGGTCCCATGGTGTGGCCCTGGGGGAGTCCCGCCGTCTGTCATCCATGCCGATGTGCACACTGACCTGGGATGCTGTCAGGGGCTTCATGTGGCCATGCGCCTGTGCCTCATACCTCTCCAGGTCAGGCTTCTTATAGCTGGAAAGCAGGAAGGCAACAGCATCTGAGCCATTCTAGAAACAAGGCTCTTTTTTTTCTCAGCCTGGTGAAGGCCTCTCATCCATCTTTTAATAACATTTAGTACCAAAACCTCAAGAGTTCCCAAGGAAAAGGATATTAAACTCCCTATGGTTCCAGGAAAGCTCACCTGATTTAGAAACTTCCTAAGCAAATGCCTTGCACGTTGTAGGCTGCCACTCACTTTTGTTAAATGAATGCACTCATAAATAAGTGAACATCTTTTTTAAAGAAAAAAAATGATAGATAATACACAGGGACCCATGTCTGCTTGATGTTCACAATAACAGCCCTTGAGCAGCAGAGCAAGGGCAGCCCAGCATGTGGATGGGCAGCAGTGAATTGCCTGCTCACGGTGCTGATAAGTTACACGCATGCACACCAGGCTCCACGTGGGCTGCCACTGCAGCGTTTGTCCCAGGTGAATGACTGGGGAATGAGAGGCAAGTTCCACTGTTCCCTGAGCATGCAGAATGACAGGGCCTCCTGGGAGCCTCCAACAGATGCTCCGCCTGAGGGGACTCACCACTTGAGCTGCAGGGATGACAGCACCACAGACACAGAGGAGGCAGCCATGGCCGCTGAGCCCATCCAGGGCTGCAGCACAATGCCGATGGGCATGAAGACACCTGGGGAAGAAAGAACTCGCACTCACACCTAGGCCTGGGGAGAGGAGCCAGGAGAGGGCCTCAGGCACCGGGCCGGCCCCACCCTCAGTGGCCCCCAGTGAGGTCTCCACCTGGCGGGCTCGGAAGCCCCTGCCAATGGATCTTGTTCACAGGCCCCCCAAAGTGAGGCTTCCTAGAAAGCTGGGTGTGGGGTGCTGTCAAGCGGGCCTGGCTCTCTTCCATTTGCCCTGACATTCCCAGAACCACCCACAGGTGGCATCCCATTTCAGGGCGAGCTCCAGGGCAGCGACGAACCAGAGAGTGGGAGGAGCGGGAGGAGAAAAGTGGCAGGAGGTGAGGGAGCCAGCTGCCCATCCTGCAGCCACAGTACCACAGAGGACAAACATGGCTGATGGCCACAGCCCTTGTCTAGCAGATGATCTTGCCTCCAGGGCTTCATGACACCTTTAAAAGAGGAATGAGAGCCAGGTCCCAGGACAGGGTCATGAGACAGGTATGGTCAACTTTGTGTGGCAGAGGCACACACACTGGGGGAATTAAGCTCCTGAGCCGGCTCTGGGGACAGGAAGTAAACCTGCCTAACTCACTGGGCTCAGGAGGCCAACACCCTGTTACACAAGTCACCACTAACCACTCAGACACAAGGGAGACTGAGGCAGGAATGCTGTGATTACAAACTTGATCTCTCCTCAGCCCATGGAAGAACACTGCCTTGCAGAAGGGTCTGGAACTTTTCACTGCCATGTTCCCGGGGCAGGGGGCAGGGGGCAGGGGAGAGGCGTTTCTTGGGGAGGGGGAATGAGGGGGAATTACAAAGCAGAAAAATCTATTTCTTTTCTTTTTCTTTTTTCTGAGACAGGGTTTTACTCTTGCCCAGGCTAGAGTACAGTGGTACAATCATGGGTCACTGCCACCTCCAACTCCTGGGCTCAACAAATCCTCCTGCCCCAGCCTCTGTACTCCCAGATGGGACTAAGGTGTATGCTACTATGCCCAGCTAATTTTAAAATTTCTGTAGAGATGAAGTCTCACTATGTTGCCCAGGTGAGTCTTGAACCCCTGAGCTCAAATGACCCTCCTGCCTCAGCCTCCCAAAATGTTGGGATTACAGGCTTGAGCTACTACGCCTGGCCAAAAAGCCGTTTCTTTCCATGATCATTTGTGTAACTCAAAGTGAAACTTGGGCAGGACTGAAGTTCAGGATAAGGTTCTGAAACACCAATAATTGTGCCTAACATGTAGCAGATGCCCCATAATTCTTACTAATGATTATTCCTCAGACTATATGTCTTAACAAATGGCTCTGAAAATAAGGCCACGTAAAATAGGGCTCAGAAAATACAGCCAAGCATCTCCACTAGCTTTTTAGAAAGGAACAGAGTGAATGAAGTTTTCAGGTCCTCTTCACAGTTTCTCATTTACTTTTAAAGACATATAAAGCAGGGGACATAAAAAAAACCAGCCTTTCTAAAGCATCTCTAGCCAGCCAGTGAGTGAGCTACTCACTAACCTCAGCAGAAACCTGGGAGACAGAAGCCTTTCTGGGCGCAGCTGGAGCACAGTGGGTAAAAGCTGCCTACCTGCCGCGATGGGTATCCCAACCAGGTTATAAATCAGTGCCAGGACCAGGTTGATGCGTATCCTCCGGACAATCCTCTTGGAAAGGTGAATGCTAGCCACCACATCCAGCAAATCATTCTGATGGAGAGAAGCACACGGTGAGGAAGGCGTCTGCCCACCACCCTCCCAGCACCCACAGCCTGGCTGCAGCCGCACTCACTCTGATGAGGACGACGTCGGCTGCCTCGATGGCCACATCCGTGCCAGTGCCAATGGCGACACCCATGTCTGCCTGAGCCAAGGCTGGGGAGTCATTGACCCCATCCCCCACCATGGCGACTCTCTTCCCTTCATTCTGGAGCTCCTGGACCTTGGCCACCTTGTGCGAAGGCAGCACCTCTGCAAAGACTTTGTTGATGCCAACCTAAGACAAAAGAAAGGCAATGCCTGGTGTTGGCAAAAGGTATCAGATAGCAGCAGAAGCCTCAAATTACCCTTGCCCCTCTGCCCTCAGCCTCTGGGTCCAGTCAGTGACGTTGGTCAGCCACACCCTGCAGGTTTGCTGTCACAGGGCCAGTTCATCCCTGGCTCCCGTCCCAACACCCTGTACTGGTTTAGGCCCTGTCCTTTTCTGGATGTGCAAACAACCCCCTTGCTGGTCTCCCTGTCCACAGCTCAGTACCCCAACCTTCTTCTCCATGTGCTGCCCTCAGGGTCTTTCCAAAGCATCTGTATGGTCATGGGTCCCTACTCTCCTGTCTCATGTCCTCCAGCAGACCCCATGCACCCTCCAGAGGAGGGCAGCTCAACTCTCAGGTCTGCTTCTGAGGTCCCCAGAGTCTCAGGGTCTGGCCGCTGCTGCCACACTTGACCACACCATTCAGCTCCCTGTGGTGTCTCCAAATCGCCGTGCTATTCTGTGCCCCTGGGAAATGCTCCTGCTGCCTGCTGTGTCCTGGGAAGGTGCAGTTTTCCTTTCCTAGCCCCTCTCCCACTTCTCAGATATACACTGTCACTGGTCCGCCTTCTTGCAAGACTGTGAGCCGAGCCCCCTTCATTCCTCACAGAGCCTGGCCCCGCACCTGCCTGTCACATTTGTGGTGCTTCATAAGTGCCTGCTGAATGGATGAACAAGTGTTAGCCAGAAAAGGGGGGAAGGACGCTAAACAGGTCCACCATTAGCAAGGAGGACCATGGAAAACAGGGGTACTGCTGCTTCCCTCAAGGAATACAATTAAGCTTTCAGAAGCCTAGAGCTCTGCACACATTTGGAGGTGCATAATTTCTAGGAATCCAAACTGGAGCCACTGCTGTGTGAGGAGTCAGGCAGCCATCCAGTGGTACTGTCCTCACAGGCCAAACAGCCTCAGGGACTGGGCTGCTGGAGAACTGCCCAGGACTGAGTCACTTATCTGAGCACCCGAGTGAGAAGAGCTGAGCTGGCAAAATCTTCCTTTAACATAAAGGTTAGAAAATGTCTATCTTAGCCCTTAAGCCACATACTTTTTTTCCATTGCAAAGACTGGGAAAAGGTTAGAGAACAATGGAACTCCTTTTTCGAGGACGCATGCACCCAAACCCCAGGAAGAGATCTTCGCACGGCACCACAGTGCTCACGTGTGACACTACGTGGCCACAGAATGAAGCACGTGGAGAGAAAAGCATCCAGAGAGGGGGAAAGAGCAGGAGTACAGTTCAGTGCTGGGCCAACTGGTGCTTACTTTTGTCTCTAACTGCTTTTATGAGCTTTACGCAGTTTGCAATATTAAAGGGCTGTACCTGGGTGGCAATGGCTCTGGCTGTCTTCCGGTTGTCCCCGGTGATCAGAACCACGTCCACACCCATGCTTTGCAGCGTGTGCACAGCCAGGGCGGCCTCCTGCTTGACAGCATCTGCGATAGCAATCATCCCACAGAGCACACCTGGAGTGAACCAGCCAGCATCAGCAGCTACACAGGATGGGCACCCCGCATCAAGACACCACACTTGCAATGTTCTCATCATATAATGTTACGTGCAAAAAACAAAACGCCAAATTATATAACACAATGGGGTTTTTTTGCTTTTTAAAGAGTACATGCATTTACAGACATACAGAAAAGTCTGGAAGCAATATAATTAAAATCTTCACAGTGACTCCCCGAGGAATAGGATTATGAGTGATTTCATTTTCTCCTTTACAGCTGAATTTTCCAAACTTTCTGCAAGGAGCATGTATGACACTTTGCAAAGTGCCTGGCTTGTAATAAGAATTCAATACACGTTAGTGACTAAAATTCAAGAAATATAACAGATATCACTTAAAGTGATAAATGTCCAAACTAGAAAATCAATCCTTCTTTGTCTTTTCCTACAGAAAACATTTTGGCAGAATTTCTCTTTGAGTGAATCTTTAGCTATAGAAGCAGGAGGGTTTTTAGGGCTGAGGTGTGAATGAGAACACAGTGAGGGATGACATACGAGATGGCACGACTCCTTTACTTGTGCCAATTCTGGTTTGACAGCCGAGGGGAGGGTGGATTTACAAAGACTTACAAAAAGGGAAAAAAAAGAGAGAATGTGAGAAGAAGACATATTTGGCTGGAGCATTCAAAAGGTATCATAAATTTTATTTCTTGCTTGCATATACTGTTACTTCTATTAGCAGAAACTAACATTAACAAAGTAAAGACTCTAATCTCTCTGGCATGTAAAGCCCAGGATAGAATCTGAGCACTAAAACACATGCAGTCTTTTTTTTTATTTGAGATGGAGTTTCATTCTCGTTGCCCAGGCTGGAGTGCAATGGCATGATCTCGGCTCACCACAACCTCCGACTCCCAGGTTCAAGCGATTCTCCTGCCTCAGCCTCCCCAGTAGCTGGGATTACAGGCACCTGCCACCACGCCCGGCTAATATTTTTTTAGCAGAGACGGGGTTTCACCATGTTGGTCAGGCTGGTCTCAAACTCCCAACCTCAGGTGATCCAACCACCTCAGCCTCCCAAAGTGCTGGGATTATAGATGTAAGCCACTGCACCCAGCCAACACACACAGTCTTGAGACCTGTACTCTATGCAACACCAGTCTGTATAAAGCAGACAGAAGGGCAGGCGCAGTGGCTCACGCCTGTAATCCCAGCACTTTGGGAGGCCAAGGCAGGGGGATCACCTGAGGTCAGGAGTTCGAGATCAGCCTGGTGAAAACCCATCTCTACTAAAAATACAAAATTTAGCTTGGCATGGTGGTGGGGGCCTGTAATCCCAGCTACTCAGGAGTCTGAGGCAGGAGAATTATTTGAACCCGAAGGCAGAGGTTGCAGTGAGACGAGATCGCACCACTGCAGTACAGCCTGGGTGACAAGAGGGAAACTCGATCTAAAAAAAAAAAAACAAAAGTAATAACAAATAAATAAAGCAGACAGAGAAGAGTGGCATGGATCTCATTGTTTAAATGCGTCCTGTAGTTAAACCTGTTGGGAAGTGAATTCCTGCTTTGTCTGCAGGGATGAATGGGAAGGATGACTCTGAACTGCCCACCCGGACAAGAGCAACGATGATGACAAAGACAGTTTAGAATTCCAAGGTCAAGAAGACTGAGGCCAGACCAGAGCTGGCTATGGGGCCAAGATGGAGACAGTGGGAAAGAATGAAGAGAAAAGACAAAAAGGCAATCTTTTGGGAAACAGGCCTGAAATTAAGAGAGGAAGGTTTTCATTTGTTTTCTTTTATTTTTTAAAGGAGGACTCTTTTGCCTGATATCTGCAGAAAACTGCATTTCTGAGAGAGCAGAAGGAAGGCAGAAGCAGAAGATACCGTCGATAGCCACCAGGATGGCTGTCTGTCCTTTCATCTCGTGGTCTGTCATAGCGTCACTGACGTCACTGGAAATGGTTAAGCCGTTGCGCCTCAGCCATTCACGGTTTCCAATCAGCACAGAGAAGGTCTGGGGGGCTGCATCTATTCAAAAGAGGCTGTGGTTATTTCTAAATGGTCCAATTTCGCTGTTAACTAAAACCATGCAATCCTTTTAACAGCAAAATATCCTTTTAACCAATCTGAAAAACTGTAACCTTCCTCTTGTGACAGCATCCTTTAGGACAAGGAAAAAAAAAGTAAAATTAATGTGTAGGACATGTGGGTATGAATTAAGATGAGGCATTAATAGTACATGCTGTATGGGTGGAAATGGTATAAACGTATTAAACATAAGGCAACGTCCGTCTTTGTCTTAGAAGTATCCACTGATTCTTTTTCTGCAGGGATTAGAAGCACTTAGCTATTTGCCCAGCACACAAAGCAAGTGTTGACTACATTCATTACTGCTTGGTATCAACGACCCCAGGTGAATCAACGAATAATCAGGCAAGTCTACATGAAATGTTTAAAACTGTAACTCCCGAGGCTAATGCACCTCTCACCTGTCACTTTCAAACAGTGTGTGCTGCTAACTGAGGTGTTACTGCGTGGCCAGGCTCTGGAAGCTCTCATCGAAAGGCCATCTGGGGTTTTAAAGGCTGGAAGGTGGTACGTGGCTTCTAACCACACAATCTAAGTCACAATTTCACTACCAACACTTAGGAAAAACACTAGTCACGGGGTTTGAGTGTTTTCCACCCTTTATTCTGGTGGCTGGCAAGCTACCTTGAGAATAAGAAAGGCCATTCTTCAAAAGCAGCTGTCCCTCCAAGCAGTGTCCCTTCCTGGCTTGGGCAGACATTTCCCTCTGCTTTCCTGACTTTTTCTGCCTGCTCGGTAAATACCAGAGTTCTACCACACGGGATGGAAACAGGAAGAACAAAAGTGGAATTCCCATCTGCCAACTCTGTGGCTTATGAGAAGCAAGACCGATTTGGGGTAAGAAAGAGACGAATCAAAATCACGAGTCAGCTAAACAATGCTCTACAAATTTAAGGCAGCCATAAGCAACAAAATTTACATGCACCCAAGAACATGAGAGAAACTTTCCTGGGGGTGGGGAGGCAGGCCTGGCTGCCTTAGCCATGAACCGTCTGCCGCACAGCAGAGGCCATCACTGCTGGACGTGGTGCTCTCTGTGGTTTGGCCCACCTCTACTTTGAACCAGCTGCAGAGACAGAGGCCAGCAATACCTTTTTCTGCGGGAAGGTTGCCAGCCTCATTCAGGTGACTGGCAGGTGCACTCAAAGGGCGCTCACTGTGGGCCAGGATGCCTTCCACGTTGCTGACTTTGCACCCAATCCCACAGCCTGGCACCGCCTGGAAGTCCGTGCAGTATCCCAAGGTCTCTGTTCCAAGTTCCTGGGAAGGTGGAAAGAGAGGGAGAGGAACCTGTAAGCCAAGAGGGGTGATGTGAGAGGGAGGGGTAGGCAGGACAGGGACACAGGGTGAAGGTGGCAAGAGAACAGTGGAAAGCAGGAACTGAGAGAAAGGAGGAAAGGGAGGTGGAATGGATGGGAAAGGTTAAGATAGTGACTAGTAATTATTTCTCCCCCTTTGGTAAAGATACTATAGCTGTAAAGTTGAATGAGACTAAACAGCCTAAAATGTTGCCCTGGGTGGGTGCCTCATGACAGTAAACAGGTTACCGAATGGAAAGGAAAAAGGCAATTCATATCAAACACCTCAAATTAAAGAGGAGTGCAGGTGCCAAAGAGGGAGAAGTAAATTTTATGTTGCAAATAATTTCATGAAAACAATGGAATAAGTAGTGTTAACAAAGCTCTTTGAGGCTATCAAGAGATAATTGCCTGTATATCAGACCCTGGAGGAGGAGGGGACAAGGTGGCAGGGGAAAGGAATGGCTGGGCTTTCTAGACTGCCTGTCCTCCCTCAGGCTGTGAGCTCCTGAAGGGCAGAGTTCACATTCCACTCCTGTTGTTCTCCTGAGTCTGGTGCCTGGTGATGTTCAGCAAATGCCTGTGACACTGACCTCCCTTTATGATAACCTAGAACTGTGGCAAGGGCTGACTGTGAGTCCCTTATCTCCACTTGCTGCAGAGGAGCCTTCTAAGCAGTTTTCCAGACCATACAACAAATGAAGGATGACTGAGGGTGAGCGAGATTCTCCCTGAAATGTCAGAAGGGAGAGGTGTGAAACAGTGGGCTGCCTGACCCTACATGAAGGAAAAACTAGAAATGAGGTTTCTGGAAGAGCCTCTGACCACAAAGAGTTGTCAACTGTTTTTCAAGGCAATGATATCACCTTTCTACATTTACTGCTAACAGTATTGCTCAGGCTGTTTAAAAATTGTCAGGGCAATATTCTGTGTGACATGTTCTGCTGCCCCTATATTCAGACTGAAATTAAGAGAAAACAAAACAGAACATTTCATGTGGAGAGATCAAAAGAGGGCAATGCTTCTCTATGAAGTGCCAAGAACCTGCCGGGCGCTCTGGCTCACCTCAGCTGTTTCCTCTCTGTCCCAGGTGCTCCCAGGGGAGTAGATTTCTCCCTCCCACCCCAATACTCCCATTTCATGTTTGTGTCCCCTTGCACTAAGCACTGTCAAAGCACTGAGTTTCCAGACTGCCCGTACTCCCCAAGGCTGTGAGCTTCCAAAGGGTAGACTTCACATCCCACTCCTGTTCTTCTCCTGAGCCTGGTGCCTGGTGATGTTCAGCAAATGCCTGTGACACTGAACTCCCTTTGTGATAACCTGAAACTGTGGCAAGGGCTGACTGTGAGCCCTATCCCCGCCTGCTGCAGAGGGGCCTTCTAAGTGCTTTTCCAGACCACACAGAGAAGGCCTGCTCAAGGGCAGCTAGGAGAGAAGGACATGGTGAGGAGTAAAGGAGCACTGGTGGGAAGGGCAGGGCCATGCCCAGGTCCACGTACCTCTTTACAGTATTTGGTGACTGCCACGCCCAAGGGGTGTTCGCTGCTGGCCTCCGCAGTCCCCACCACAGCCAGAACCTTCCTGAGGGGCAGGGTGGCCACATCCCCCAGTAGGAGCACTCGCATGACCCTGGGGACCCCATGGGTAATGGTGCCAGTCTTGTCAAACATCACAGTCTTTATCTGCCAAAAACAACCACAACTCAGTGACCACAATACAGATGGAGGGACTTCCATAGTCATAGTTCTGATGCAGAACCTCACCCAACCTGCCTCAGATAGGAAACAAGACAGCTTCCTAACATGATCCTCTGTCGTTCAATCTCAGGGTTCAACAACTCCCACTGCAAAGAAACTGTTTCCCTACGTATCCAGTCAAATCAGCCACACTGAGGCTTGACCTTGACCAGGCAAAGCCAGAAACCTTGGCTGTACAGGAGATGGCACAGCACTGTCCCCCTAATAGTGACACCATCCACAGACTTCCTCACGTCAGGTCAGGAGTCAGGACCCTGAGGGACACCTGCCTCCCTGTCCACTGCCATACGCTGAGCCCAACCACAGCTTCCTCTTGCCTGCCTAAGTGCAAAAGCTACTGGGAATAGAGTCCTCACACTCTGAGTTCAAGAAAGGAAAGGACTATTCTATGGCCATAATGACAAGCAAACCCCCGGAGCCAGTTTTAAGTTGGTTACACTTGGTCAATGGCAGTCTGCAGAGTTCCCACACCTCTGGGCTCAGATATGGGCAGCAGCTACAGGTACCTGCACTTCCATGACCAGGGCCAGCCGAGCTCTAAGCCCTGCTTCTGAAAGTCCAGTAATCCCTGAAGTGTATAATTCGAACCCATTTAAGGCCAGCAGGTTGTTCTTCTCAGACCATGTCCCACAGCAGGGTTCTATGCAGGGTTCTCCCTTACAATTGCGCAAACAATAATTCAGCTTTTTGTTTCTGATGCTGAGTGGTGGCCTTCCTTCAACACACTTAACTCATCTTCCTCCAGAGATTCTTGCCAGCTTTCAGTGCATCCTTCACTATGCAGCCAGAATGATCTTTCCAACACACGATCCGGTCACATCACGTGGGTATGCCATCCCCACGCGGCTTCTAGGGTAACGTTCAGAACCCTTTACTAAATCTTCAGCCTTTGGATTCTGGCCCCTCCCTCAACAGTCTCATCTCTAGTTCCTCTCTCCCAATGATTTTCTTCCAGTTCCTCGTTTGCTCATTCAACAGATAACTTCTGAATGCACTCGATGTCTCAGGCTAGATGCTGGGGATACCGCGGGGAGGGGAAGTTCTACCTTCACAGGTCCTGTCCACCTGCTGTCCCCATGTTGGAACACTCTTCCCCAGCTCCGTTGTCCAGCTCTCACTCAACAGTAAGGTCTCAGATGAACATTCGCATTCGCTTCCCTGACCACCTGCAGCACCCTCGTCCCTGAGTCCAGCACCCCAAGTCTAGGATTGGCCCCTGTTCAAGTGTCCCCAGGGCATCAAACACCACCGGTCAATACTCAGTATCTCGTAAATACTCACTCAGCTTTGCTATTTACTTTTTCACTGTCTGTCTTTCCCCCTAACCTGGTGGGCTCCTTGGCAGCTAGAAACCATGACCATCGCCAGAACCCAGTGTGGGGCCCACATGCAGTGCGTGCCCAGCAAATGCTGATTACATAGGTGCAAGTGTGAAAGGCCAGAGGTAAGTTAGGAAAAGGAAGACACTTCACAAACACCGTCACTCACTCTTTACTCCCCGGAGTCACAGGACCCACCACTAATCCCACAGATGTCACAGTGGGGCTTTTGTCCTGGAGCCTGGCTACCTGGGTGTGAATCCCAGCTCTGCCTCTGGTTAGCTGCAGGCCTTTGGGCGAGTAACCTAATCTCCTCCTGCTGCAGTTTCCTCATCTGTAAAATGGGAATGATAAGCACCTACCACACAGAGTTGTTAATGCAATTAAATCAAGTAATGTTGATAGTTTTCATTATATGACTGGTGGCTATTCTGTTGCTACTGTCGTTATTCCTAGTTAGACTTGACTTACTATTCTATGTAATTAACACTGCTGTCTTGAGTGGCTCTCAGGCTTTTCTCTCAATGTGAAACAGTAAACAGATACTACTTTCATCTCTCAGGACGGGGAAAGCCGTGGTACAGGCTGACCTTGTGCGCCATCTCCAGGGGCTTGCCTCCCTTGATGAGGATGCCATTCTGCGCGGCCACCCCGGTGCCCACCATGACGGCCGTGGGTGTGGCCAGCCCCAAGGAGCAGGGGCAGGCAATGCACAGCACCGTGATGGACGTCTGGAATGCAAACCGGATGATCACCTCTGTCTGGGAGATGTGCTTGTTGGGGTTCTGAAAACAGGACAGAGTCAGAGGCAGGTTGAGAGTTCAATAAGGAAGCTCCCAGAACTCTAATCACATAAGGGCATTTCAGGGGGGCACTGGGCACAGTGTGACAAACTTGGGTTTTGGAAACAGATGGTATTCTGCACTGCTCTGCCATCATAGAGAACACATTACTGCTCTCCACATCCCAGCTATCCCACTTCATCCTACAGGTTTCCCTCAAAGAGGCATTACAGGAGCAGAGTCAAATAAAAGCCCTTGACAGGGGAAAGCAGACTCTGGAGATGGACCACACAGACCCAGATCCTGGTTTCCTCATACACAAAATGGAGATGATAATGCATAGCTCATAAATTGTGGTAAGGATTGAATGAGGCAATACATATATAAACATATACATATACACAGTACATAACACCGGGCATAGGAGCAGCATCTAAGAAACAGTAACTATTACCGTTATTTTTTTCATCATTAGGAAAGCTTTAAAAATGTTATTCTAAGGTGATAATCATATAAATGAGAAAAGATGCAAGAATATTTACCACAGTGTTTTGCTTTTGTAATGACAAAAAATGGAAACAATAGGAGATTGGTTAATTAAATTGTAGGTGTGGTGTATATAATAGGATACGAGGCAACTGTTGGAATGATGATGTATATCTACATTTACTGATATGGAAAAGTACCAGCAGCATTGCAAAATTAAAAAGCAAGTACAAAATGGCATGTGCTGGATTTATTCATGCAAAAATCTCTGCCTATATCTGAATATAGCATTTCAACAATACTGGAAAGGTATCCACTAATGTGCAAAAAAATTACTTCTAGGGATATGATTTGGAGGTATCTTTACTTTCTTCTCTGCATTTTTCACTATTTTTTCTTTGTAACCCAAAACAAACAAAATATGAGTCTACTTTCCAGACACTTGGTATTATTTATATTCTGAGAGCTTGAATTATCTCGGTTTATTTTTAAAAATGGCTGGTGGCTATGGAGTATAATCAAGAGATACTATGTTCGCTTACTTATTGTAAAAAGCACAGTTGTCTAGGGTAAGGCTATGGACCACAGCCTCATTAGCTTCCATCTATATTTTATTATTTCACTCTGAAAGGCAGGATTCTAAAATAAGATATATTACTAAAGGGGTCTTTTAATTTTCATAGAAACAGTTATATTTAGGTAGAGGGATATATTGTTTAAGATTTTTAGAGATAAAGATTATGTAATCTTTTTTAAAAACACACTAATTCTTGTCAAAATCACACCTGGCATTCTGACAGGACTGGGGGGACTTCTGGAAGTTACCATGAGCCCTTCTCTACAATGACTTTCGTACAGCAGAGAGATGATAGTATCTTAAAGGAACATGCAGTACCTCGTTTGCCAGCATCCTCCCTGATATTGCAGATAAAAACAAAAGAAGCCAAAGTAAGATGGAAAGGCATGGAACAGCAGAAAGCCACAGATTCCAACTTGTTTAGGACTGAGTCTTCCCATGGCCACATGCCAAGGCACTGCTCTCCCGAAAAAGCCGAAATTGTAAGCGGTCAGGTGCCATGGATAGCCACTGGCACATTCTACCAATATATCTGTAAGTTACTTTTAAGAGCACTGAGTTTCCTTAGATGTCAGAAAGTGTTTAACTTGAACATTTTTCAATTTAAGATGGAAAATTTGAGGGAGAAAATGACATCCTAGTAAATGACATGTGTCCTGAGAATATTTGATATACTTTTAATTATGTGCAGAATTGTTTTTAAAAGAAAAAAATTATCCATTCCATATTTGTACTTTTTGCTGTGTTACCCAGGCTGGAGTGCAGTGGCTATTCACAGGCACCGTCACAGCACACTACAGCCTCAAACTCCTGGACTCAAAGGATCCTCTGCCTTAGCCTCCCGAGTAGCTGAGTCTACAGATGCTTCGCCACACCCAGTTTGGTTTCTCATTCTATGGCTCTATGGTATAACAAGCATTAGACTGGGCTAGGAATAAGATAAGGTAAAAACATTGTTCCACTCATGGTGACGTTACCACTCATTGTTCTGCTCATTGTGCCGTTAACAGTACCAAATACTGTTCTAAGTGTGCCATTAGTTTTTTCAGTACATTATCAAGGTTTCAACCTCAGTGCTACTGACATTTGGGGCCAGATAATTCTTTGTCGTAGGGGCCTGTGATGTGCCTTGTAGGATGTTTAGCAGCATCCCCTCAGTCACAAAAACCAAAAATGTCATAGCTCCCAACTGAGAATCACAGATGTAATATAGAGTTTATTCCTCAAGAAAATACGTTTTTTGAGGGGTGGCCTGTATTTTCCTTTCTTTTTCTGAGGTTTAATAAAACCATATTTCCTAAGATAGTGTTCTTCAACCACTTTTTTAAACTAAAAAATGTATATGCCATTGCCTCACATACAATGTTTAGAAAACATTTACTATAAAAGGCTATTCACGTCTGGGTGCAGTGGCTCATGCCTGAAATCCCAGCACTTTAGGAGGCCGAGACAGGCAGACCACCTGAGGTCAGAAGTTCGAGACCAGCCTGACTAACATGGTGAAACCCCATCTCTACTAAAAATACAAAAATTAGCTGGGCGTGGTGGCGTGCACCTGCAGTCCCAGATACTCGGGAGGCTGAGACAGGAGAATTGCTTGAACCTGGGAGGCGGAGGCTGCAGTGAGCCGAGATTAATCCACTGCACTCCAGCCTGGGCAACAGAGGGAGACTCCATCTCAAATGAATAAATAAATAAATAAATAAGAAAACATAAAAAGCTATTCACATTACTTGGGAAGCTGGGAGGTCAAAGATGGTACTGGTAAATATATACATCAAAACATATTTTTCTTAAAATGTGTTAAATAATATTATCATGCCATTGACATTTAAAGTGAGCTATTTTCTATGACGTATGCCTCATAAACTCAAAAGGGACCAATAATACATATTGTAAATGCTTCAAGCATTACAACTGAGCACCAATTGGTGTCTGTGAAAATCATCTAAGTAGAATGCAAAGGAGAACTTTAATAGAAACCTGCAGAAGGAGAGTGACTGTTTATCCCGCTCTGGCTTAAATTTTGCTGTCAATAAGAGAAGCAAGCAAATAAAATGCAATGAATAATTAAAGCCCAGTGAATCTAAGAGATGAAAGAATAGGATCAGTGTCAGTAGATTATTTAAAACACAACCACCATACAGCCCAAGGCATTCAACTTACAGGAAAGTACTTCTGAACAACACCAAAATCGATAAAACCGATTACAATCCATACCACCAACGTCAAAGTTGACATGATGATGATAAGTGGGACAAAATATCCACTAAACCGGTCAGCCAGTTGCTGAATGGGGGCCTATGAAAAGAAAACACCAAGACCGTGGGAAATTACAACCTATGAAGAAATAAACCACCACAAGCATTGATAAGGACTGGGATAATCTCCCTCATTTAACCACATTTACTAATCAATCTCTACTCAATAAAACTGTCTGATTTCCCAGAACTCTTGACATAATTTCTAAAATGAGAAAGATGAAGTTCGTTTTAAAAATGTCTTCATTACCTTTGACATCTGAGCCTCTTCCACCAGTTTCACAATCTGAGCCAAAGTGGTGTCATTGCCTACATGGGTGGCTTTAATGAGCACAGAGCCATGTGCATTTATAGACCCCGCAATTACAGTGCTTCCGGGTTTCTTAGTGACTGGCATGGCTTCTCCTAGAAGTAGGAAAGAGACAACCGTCATTTGCTCAGCCCCATCCAGCACTCATGTGACCTGAAAGCTGCTATGATATCTGCCTGAGGGAACATAAAACAAGCCGCCTCACCTGTGATGAGGGACTCATCAGCCATGGTATTGCCTTCCAGGACTTTCCCGTCCACTGGGAACTTTCCCCCAGGGACCACCTTGACGATATCGCCCCGCTGCACCAGCTCCATGGGGACTTGCTCCTCCCTGCAACAGACGCCACTCATCACTCATATGGCCACTCATTCGGTCACCAGGTCAGGTTCTAGGTCAGTTGTCACACTAGTTATACTACGCTTGCTTATACTGAGCAACAGTATTCATTTGATCTGTTCATTTACAGATATTTATCGTGCAGCTGCTGAATGCCAGGCATTGTTCTAGGCACTGGTGACACAGCTGTGAATGGCACAGCAAAGGCCCTACCATCTCATGAAGACAAGTTCTGTGGTGGAAATGGACAACAAGCAAGATAGAATCAGGTATTAAATATTAATAAGTGCTGTGATGAAAATAAACCAGGATAACGTGACTGGAAGACTTCTTAGAGTGGCGGAGGGAGGAGGAGACTGGAAGGGCTTCTCTGGGAAGGTAACGTTTAAGCTGAGACCTGCATGCCAAGAAAGTCCAACACACAGGGAAAGGAAGTTCATAGAGAGAAAACAACTGACACAAAGGTTTAAGGCAGGCAGGAAGGGTACGTCTGAGAAACAGCAAGAAAGCAAGCATGGCTGGCAGGAAGTAAGTGACGTGCAAGTTGAGGTCAGAGAAGCAGGCAGAGTCCAGATCATGCCGGGTCTCCTGAAGCAGAGCATGGGTTTTCAATGTAAGGCTTTAGCAGGAAAGTGACACGATCTGATTCACATTTAAGTGATCTCTTTGGCTGGTGCATGAGAATGGGCTGTAGGGGTGATCACAGCAGTAAGGGGGAGAGTCAGGCTGTTGCAGTAGCCTAAGCAGAAGATGGAAGTAACCTGGACGACAGAACAAGGGAGAAGAAATACACGGCATATTCTTAGATCATGTGTCAACAAGATGTGAAAATGCACTAAATGTGAGGGTAAAGAAAGGAATCAAAGATGAGCTCCAAATTTTCATTTTTGAGCAACTGGGTGGATAGAGAAACCACTTAATGAGATGGAGATGATTATGGAGAAGCAGCTAAGGGAGGGTGAGGGAAGAGAAGGGGAAGAGATGGGAGAGAAATGGTTCATTTTGACATGTCGGGTTTGAGATGCCTATTTGACTTCCACGTAGAAATATCAACTAGGGAGCTGAAAATAAGAGTCTGAAGTGGAAAGAAGAGGTCAGAGGTAGAGAACAAACCTGAGAGCTGTCACATGTAGATGGCATTTAAAGCCACGAAATCACATGAGCGTTCCTAGGAGTGAACGGAGAAACAGAGAAGGGGTCCTAGAATTCATCCCTGAGACACTCCACCATCCGAAGGCTGAGCAGAACCTGAAGGACCAGTCAGTGACACAGGAGAAAAATGAGAATGGGAATGAGGAGGAGGAGGCGGAGGAGGAGGGAGCACCCATCCAACAGCACCAAACGCTGCACAAGTAGTTCCACAGGGGCAAATATACATAAAATTCATCACACTCTACACATACGGTTTGTGTGCTGCAGTGAATGTGAGTTACACATTGAAAAAAGAAAAAAAATCAGACAGACAAGGGGGAAATACTTGTGAGAGACTGAAATGAGGACTGAACACAAGCAATGCTGGATTAGGGTATACAGAAATTATTTGATGGCTGTGGCCAAACCAAGTTCAGAAACTGGTAAAGGCAGAGGCTCAACTAGAATGGGCTGAGAGAGCATGAGGTGAGAAGGCAAAGACAACAGCAAAAGTCCCGTTTTTAAAGAAGGCTTGTTGTGAAGGAACAGAAAAACAGCACTAGAAGGGAGGGTGGATTAAAGTGGGGATTGTGTCTTGTACATACTGTGCGCTGGTGGGACACACCCTGCAGAGACAGAGATTCTGTGGGCGAGAGAGGAGAAGACGGCAGGAACAGAGACAAAGCCAGAGGGAGGGCACCCATGACCCAGGGCCAGCTTCAGCAGCAGCTCACTAAAAGCATGGCATGGGCCTAACAGAATTAATTGTAGAGGTAACACTGGGTCATGAGCAAACGGTGAACAAGCCAGAAGAGCGTACATGGAAAGCAAGCAGGGCCCTGAGGTTATTTTACACTTTCCTTTCATTCTATGACGACTACATTTAAACTACCACAGGGACAAAAGTCATCTCATTTACTTGAGAAGGAGAAACAGACATTTACTGTGTGCTAGGAACTGTGCTAGATTTTTACATGTTTTATCTCACTGAATCTTCCCAGAAACATACAAGGTGAGTCTTATTACCCCTATTTGAGCAAAACCTGAAGATGTCTTAGAAAGGCACAAAATTGAACATACATGCCCACTTACTAAAATGTTGCTACATGCAAATATATAAAACTTAGTAACTACCATATGCAGGTAGGTATGTTAAATATTTGCACCAATATTTTCCTTTGTAAAAACTGTTCAGGAACAGTCTCTGTGCTATGAGGATTCAAGGCTTGTCTGGCTACTTCCCAGGATTATGTGAGATGCTTAGTATGACACCTGTACACAATAAGTGCCCAGTGAATGCTGGTGATTTTTATTATCTCTTAATTGACATTTTCATATTGATTGGCCTCTTGTGTACCAGGCACCAGAGTAGCCTGGGGGTACAAACAGGACACAGTACAGCCTTCCTCTCAGGAGGTTTATAGCCTCATAACTAAAAGCAGACACACACAGATGGACAATTAAGACACACACAGTAAGTTCAATCACGGCAATCAAAATAAATGGAGCACTGAAAAGGAGACTTTCAAAGACTGAAGTCTTTAGTGCTGGGAGTATACCTGTGTTAATCTGTTTGGTGGCTGAGTGAGCCAGAAGAAGGGAAGGATCTCGACAATCCAAGAATATTCTATGCTTATTTTTAAAGTCCTCCAGGGATGGAGAAGTCCAGGCTCAACAATGCCCTTGAGGCCTCCTCTGTACAAACTGGAGGATTTATCATCCCACAGAGGTCTCCACATGGCCTGAGAAGCCCAAGTCAGGAGGAGGAGCTCCCTGCATTCAATTCAGAAATGAAAGACCCTAAGAACTAAAGGTCAGACCCTCCTCCAGCAGAACCTAATCACTAAGTTTTAAAATGTCCACTTCTGTAAGGAGACTTAAAAGTGGCACATATGTACAATTGGGTGTCTAAGAAATCTTTAGTAATGCTAATCTCTTAAATCTAACTTTGAATTTCTCCTTTGATCTAAGTTAACCACATATTTCTAACTTAAGCAGCTTAAGAGGAATAGTCCTTTATGGGAGTTAATGTGGCTCCTTCTGGTGAATCTCAATAGCATTTATTCTTCAGAATCTACTATTCCTCTCCAAGTGCTAAGGGATAGGAGCCCTCTTAATTAAAAGACAGTGGTTTGTTTCACAGCACTTCTTCATCTTTAAGAGTTTCTGACAGCAATCTGTTTACTTCACTTGTCTCCTCTCTTCTACTCCCCTTCCTCATTAAACACAAGTTAAGAAAACAAAGAAAAAACTTACAGCATTATGGTCACTGGTCTACATATGATATGTAATTTGTTTCCCCATCAATTATTAAAAACAAAAAACAAAATTTCAACGTGGGAGATTGGGGATGGGGATGTGCAAGCCTTTTAATATCAAGCACACCCATGTGTGTAATGTTTCTTTAACATCTGACAGCAGTTACATTCCACTAGTGAGTATCTCAGCGCCTGCCGTGTTTACATCCCAGGGCGGCTGAGGCACAGAGTGCTCTGAGAGCACTGAGGAGCCACAGCTGAGTCAGGCCTGGGGAATCAGGAAAGGCTTCTGGAGGATGCAACTTCCATGCTGAGCCCTGAAGGCAAGGAGCCAGGCAAAGGATGAGGAAGAAGGGAGTTCAAGGGGAAGGAAGGATGTGTGCAGAGGTCTGCAGAGAGAGGCAGCCCCTTCCTGGGACCTGCCAGTGGTGCAGGGCAGCTGCAGCACAAGGCAGGGGATGGCAAGACAGGCTTGGCTCAACAGGCATGCAGGCAGACGCCGGGCCTCACTGCCACGTTAGGAAGGTGGTGTTGATCCTAAGGACAGCAGGCAGCCGTTGAAGGATTTTCCAATACAGAGTCATATGATCAACTTGTGCTTTCAGAAAGATCACTGGTTTGAATGTGGAAAAATACTGGATGGATACCTGACTGCAGGCAGTATAAGGAGACAGCTGTGGTGCTTTAAGGGCAAGACCACGGTGGCCTGGACCAGCATGATGCCAGTAGATGACGCCCCTAGAGACGGAGGTGCTAGAACCATGAGAATGGAGTGTAGATGTGTGAATGAGGGCAGGGAGGCATTGTAGAGGACACACTGGGAGCTGGCATGAGGGTGCCTTTCCCTGAGACAGACAGGCACCAAGGAAGGGGAATATTTTTGGGGAAAAAGTGGGGGAAGGTGAAGAAAAATACAGACAGGCCGAGTCTGAGACTTTACCAGCCACCCAAGAAAAATGTTCCCACTGGCAGGTTGTCTCTGGGATCTAGATGTAGGTTTAAGAATGAGCTTTCTACAGCTGTTAACCAAAGACATGGGAGAGTCAGACGTCCCAGTGACGGTGTGTAACACACAAAGACAGAGGCATCACCACCAGAACCCCAAGGACCATTCACAAGGGATAAGGAGAGAAGAAAGCCCATGGAGACTAAGCAGCAGCAGCAGCAAGGAAAGAAACTACAGTGTGCCAGATGGATAGCACCTAGAAACGCTGCCAGCACCCAAGACTTGGAGTAAAGAGAAAGCACAAGTGTCCCCAGCAAAGGGATAGTCAGAGGAAGAGGCCCAAGCCTCAGTGAAAGAAGGCAGTTATGCGAGAAACTCTGGGGGCCTTCAGATGGTGCCATGGACCAAAGCACAGGCAGAGGCCCAGATGCGGGAGGGCCCTGTGGGAGGCAGTCACTGGGAGACCAGTGCCCAGTGCACCTCAAAGCACAGAATGGTTGAACTCAGGAAAGGCCTAGACTGTGGCAATCCAGGCAGCAGTGGGTGCAGCCTTGGCCTGGGACAGAGGGGTGGGCCCAGGGTGTGCTGTCAGGAGGCAAGTAGGAATGACCACACCCAAACTGTGAGCCAAAGGCAGACTGAACTCTGGTCTTCTGGCCCCAGCTTAATAATGTCCTATCATGTTGCATGGTAGTAGTCAGGCCATGTGTCCCCAGCCAAAAACATGAATCGGCATTCTTGGAAAAGAACTGAGTTATGACAGGTGCTGCACGCACTCTGTGGGCACTTCGGCCGGCAGATGCCTTCTCCTCCTGTTCAGATCCCTGGAATAGTTCCAAGCAACTGCAGTCAGTGCCATCAGAGGCGCCTCAAACTGTACCGAAGACCCTAGCAAGGCGAGTCAGAGGAAACGTGAGTCAAAACCAACACAGCTGCCAGAGGCCTGGCTCCCCGTCTAAACGTTTTCACTTCTCAGAAACTTCCATGCAATTAATTTATAAGAGAGAAAAAAAGCAGCCCAGGCATGTGACTGCCACAGACCCATGGCACACCAGAGCCCAGCATGCCAGGTGCTGTCACACAGGGTCCTGTCTGGGGGCAGCACAGCACAGTGGCTGAGGGGGGCTCGGTGCCTCCAGGGGACCAATCCCAGCTCTGTTGCCTGCCTGCCATGGACTCTGGGGATATTACTCCACCTCACTGCACTTGGCTCTTTCTGAGGAAAGCTGCAATGATGACAGTGCTGCCTCACGGAACAGCTATAGAGTGGAACTAGACGATCTGTGGCAAGTGCTGGGGAGTGAGCCTGGAACACCAGAAGGACTCAAATCTCAGTTGCCATTCCTACAACTGCAATGATCATTTAAAAGCCAGCATCCAGAACAAAACCAGTGCCACCGCGCGGCAGCCAGCCTGTGCCTCATGAACACTCATGCATCCGTGCGGCCCCAGTGAGTTCCTCTGCTCACCTAGGGTGTGCCCAGGGCCAGGTGCACCAGCCCTGCAGACCCCATGGGGAAGCAAGGGGTCTGTCTCAGCCTTCACGCCCAGGGCTCCAGGACACAGCTAGGGCAGGCGGGCTCCAGCAACAGTGTGATACATGGACAAGGGCATGCAGGGGAGGGGCAAGGCACCATGCCTCTGACAATGGGAGTGGTTAGAGTCTGCATGACATCGGAGGATAAGAATCAGAAACACCAAAAACCACTGAGAAAACCAACAGAGAAAGATTCCCTGGTAGAGGCATAGGAGGAGACACCTCTCCCACCAACGGGGCAGGAGTGGGAGGTGCCACGGAGGACGCTAGCTGTGTAGGCTGAGGGACAGGGAACTGGAGGGTTTCCATCTGAACGCTTCTCCTTCCAGCAGTCCGAAGCGAGACCACAGGCTAATAGAAAATGTGGTGGGACCAGGGAGAGATTTTAGGAATATGAAGGAGGGCTGAAATAACCATTGCCTAGAATATAAAAAAGAAGCTAACCCCAAGAAGCCTTAATTAGCAAAAATTTCCATATTAATAAATATGCATTAAGAGTTAGTGTGTATAAAGGTTAAGAAAATGGACTCTGGATCCACCAGCCTGGGTTACATTTCAATTCCATTAATGAATACCTGTGCGACCTTGGGCCAGTTGCTTAGCCTCTCTGAACCTCAGTTTCCTCATCTGTAAATTAAGAGTATTAATAGTACCTTCCTCAGAAAGTTTCCATCTTTGGTTAGATTAAATACAAACAGATTAGAATAGAGTCTAGCAAATAATAAATGCAGCAAGAGTTTCCAGGAATAATAATAATTATTATTTTTAATATCAGGCAACCTTATGAGGAAGACAAATTTCTCCTTCAATTTTTATTCTTTAGCAAGTTGAAGTCCTTATCTCTCCGCCTGTCTGAATCTGTATCTTACTAGGAAGGCCTAGTTCATACTCTATGTTCTCTGTGAAGTTTCCCTTGACCACCACTAGCCTTCCTCTTCTTAATTCCTGGAATACTAATCATCTGCACCTCCCATGTGCCATTTGACACACACACACCACCTACAAATCTTGTTTTATAGTTCAATGCCTTGCTTTTGTAACTGGATTGAGAGGGGGGATCTTACTGTGTCTCTGCCCACACTGACAAGGTCTACTGCAATGTCAATACAACATGGGCATCTGACGCAGCTCATACAGGTTGATAGATACCAACCCCAAAGATGTTTGATAACATAACCCACCTGATGATTAAATTGTCCTCACCAAGGGTCACAACGGTGGCTTCTGTGGCTTGGAGAGACATGAGTTTGGCCAGGGCTTCTGAGGTTTTGCTCTAGGAAATAACCAGAATGTGAAATGAGAGCTATTGAAAGCAGACCTGTCCAAACCCAGCCTGAGAGTCACAAGCATGGTGTTAGAGACAGCTGGTGTGAGAGAAACAGTCGCACGGCACGATAAAAGATTCTGCAGGTGGGCATTACTTGCTATCCACCACCCATGGCCACGTGTGTCACTTCCACATTGATGTACAGTGCCCGTGCCACCAAGGTCTGGGAATTACATTTCAGCCTGGAAACAAACAGTCTTCCCACTGACCATTTTTTTTGCGGTTCAATCTAATTTCTTTTAGGGCCTGAGTTCCATTCTCTTATAAGATACGTTTCAGTGTTGGGGACAATGGAGGGTGTTAAAAATGGCATGACCTTGAGGAGGATGTAGGGATTTCTAGACCAACTATATACTCAGTTTTGCACTAAGAGACAATGTAGGCTCTGACCTGAAGGTCAGGGTTCTTTAGTTTACACAATACACCTGAACGATGGTTTTAATAATTAACCAGATTAGCTGGGATTTCAGAAGTAGTGATCAATTTGGAGATTAGTGACTAGAGCACCTTAATTATATGGAGGTTTCTTATTTCTTTAAGTATGTCTCTATACTGTGTATAATTAGTAATTCTAAACATGGTGTTCAGAGGAAGTGAGATTTGTTTACTGAAGCGGCAGCTCTTTTCTGAACCCGAAGCTGCTGTTACCTTTGCCAAGTGTTCCAGCCACCGCCCCAGGGCAATGAACACAAAGAGCATAGGGGGCGTGTCGAAGAATGTCACAGGGCTCCTCTCCGCCTTCTCGGCCACAGCAACCACCAGGATGACCAGAGAATAGACGTAAGCAATGCTCGTGGCCAGGACGATGAGCACGTCCATGTTGGCTGACCTGTGTCTCAGAGATTTGTAGGCCTGAACGTAGAAGTACCACCCGCCGAGGACCTGAAAGACAAGGACAGTGAAGGCTGCCAGCACGTAGGGAGGAGAGTTCAAGGAGTGACACAGGGCCGAGTGCCCTTGGGATGGCAAAGCCTCTAGCTTTGTGGACAGTCTTGACATTACTTCTTCCTCTGTGATGTGTGTTTATGAAATATACTTTCCCATTCAGAGGACTACTGTCCACAGGAATGGATGACCAAGAGCATGTGAGACCCTGAAAGCCCAGTGCATACAACACAAATGTCTGCTAATAAGAGAATGGTGAAATATTGGGGGGAAAAAATCATGACTCATTTATAGTGTACACAGTACAAGGCATTCCACTCCCTAAAGAGAATGGGCTCTATCTATAAGCCACTGGCATAAAAGATGTCTAATACATGGTTAAGTGAAAAAGTCAGTTGCACATCAGTCTATCTCATATGATCCCATTTCAGTTGAAAAAGTCTGTATCTGTATTACATGAACATACACATACACACAAGTGTGCATTTTCTCAATATAAAGATTTGGAGAGATTCATGCCCAAATGCCCAACTATTAATATTACCATAGCAACACTGGGGAATGAGATTGGGCGGGAGGCAGAATGTGATTAGTGAAAGGGCATCTTCCCCTTTTCTTCTTATACTTCAGTATGGTTTGACTTGTTAATAATAGTGTACATTACACTTATAATCAAACAAAATATAGAAAACCACAAATTCAGGTGGGAGGCAGTGGCTCACACCCGTCATCTCAGTGCTTTGGGAGACTGAGGCTGGAGGACTGCTGGAGGCCAGGAGTTTGAGACCAACCTGGGCACATAGCAAGATCCTGTCTAGCCAGGCATGGTGGCAGGCGCCTGTGGTCCTAGCTACTCAGGAGGCTGAGGTGGGAGGATCGCTTGAGCCCAGAAGTTCAAGACTACAGTGAGCAATGATCATATCACTGAACTCCAGCCTGGGTGACAGGGTGAGATTCTCTCGAAAAAAAAAAAAAAAAATCCAGCCTACCAATGCTTGCCCCCAAATAGCCCCTGAACATTCCAATATTAGGACAGGGATTTAGTTTTATATTCCAAAATATATGCATAGAGGCACACTTCCCACCAGACACACAGCTAGTTCCTTAATATCACCATCAAAGCAGATGTTTCATGTCTTTCTCTTTAAATTATAACCTCCTCAAAGATTAAGGACCATATCTCCACCTTTTAAGATAGAACACTCAAGAGCAGCATGGGCTCAAGGGTGATCCAGTTGTTGCTTCCAACAACAAATGTAAATTAACCTAAACAATATGCAAATTGGAGACAGAGTTCACCACACCTTGCAGCAAGGAGGCTGCTATTCCAGGGACAGTTCTGATCACTTGAAATCAACTGAAATTGACAGTGAAACCAGGCCCTTAGTAGTCCCCCACATTGGAGGGTCCCCAAGCCCCACCTACTAGTCATAAGAGAGAAAAAAAGCAGCAACTGCCTGTGTGGGGCATGAAAGCTGCAATAAAGTGCCATTTAAACCAAGCTAAAGGGCTATGTTTGTGCTTAGCAGGCAGCACATCTGAGGGCCACACACAACATGGAGGGGAGAGGTCTGCCCACCTTTCTAATACATACCTGGACAAAGGTGCACAAGATAAAGAAGATGAGATTTAGAATGGACAGTCCTGGAATGATGTTGCGGTCCAGGACCATAGACTGGTGGGGCTGGTTGCTGGGTATCAGCATATAGATCATTAAGGCCATGACAGGGATGCCAAACACCAGGCTGCACAGGAAAGACTTCTTCCACCTGGAAAGCAAATGCAGCAACACAGATATATCAGACACTGCTTGTCACCTGGGTTACAAGCCACTCCCCTCCTGAGGACTCAGTTTAAGACCTGCCTTTGTCACATGCCTGGAACAGACCAAGGGTTAAAATGAAAGTAAGACCCTCTCTTTCTGACACTGGCCATCTGAGGGAGCATCTAGAGGTCTAAACATCACTACAAGGAGGTTCCAGAGATGTTGAGGCCCAGCCCCTGCCTTCATACACCGTGGTTACCTTCAATTTATGGCTGAGGCAACTGAGGCCCCAAAGCTGAGAATCTAGCCCCAAAGAAGACTACCATCCTCAGCCTTTGGTTGCCTTAGCTCTCTTTTCAAAGTGCAATCTTATACAGACCCCCAAAGAAAAAACAGATAAAAGCAGTATTTTATTGATATAAACTTATACATTCAATTTTTAAACAATTATTTAAAATAGAGTCCATGAGAACAGTGACCACTGGCTGTCTCAATGAACACCATAGTTTGGAATCGGGGGTCATGGCCAACAGCTGTGGTCTCATGTTAGCTGCAGCATCCATGAAATTCCAACTGAGTGGTTGTGGAACCTCAAATGCACCTAAAACATGACATGAAAACCACCGGCCTGTGAGGCTGAAGTCTTAGGCTGTTGGACTGCTACTCAAGAACCAGACCACCAACTGGCTGTCCAGATGCCTCTCCTGTCAGCTCCTCCTGTGCCCCGGGCATGCCTACTGAACCAAGCCACAGCAGTCCCCGAGGGTACCCCCGACCAATTTGTCCAGTCAAGCAAACTTCCACTCATTCTTTGAGGCTCAGATCCTATGTCCCCTGCTTGGAGTTTTCCTAGACCTTCCAGAATCTGCCAGCGCCACTGATTTCATGGCTCACTCACTCTTTCTCAGCCAGACTATGAGCCCCTCCAAGACAGGGAAGATATTTATTCCCGCACCTAGCACATTGCCCTGAACACAACAGCAGCCTTTATGGTGCTGAATGAGTAAGTGGCCATCTGAAACAATGAATGATCTCAGGTCTTCTGCTCCTGGGCCATTCTCTTTCCACTCAGCCATTATGCCTGTCCTCAAATTCTAGTTCTAGAACCCATGCAAATAAAGTCTGAAAACAATACCAAAGGAAAAAAATCTACACTCTCTCCCTCCCTCCCAACTTAAGTGCTGTCCAATCTGTTAGCCAAAGGTAGCTAAACTGAAATTCCTTAAAAATTAAAAATTAATTTCCACAGTCACACTAGCTGCATTTGAAGTGCTCACTAGCTACATGTGACTAGCGGCTATCACACTGGGCAGTGCAGATACAGAACACTGCCATCATTCGAGAACTTCTTTCGGACAGCACTGTTTTAGAGGGTTCATATTACAAGGGTAAAGGCAGCTAATCCAGGAGGAAGGCACCATGGGAAGACAGGACCAGCAGGCAGAGTTGGGCCCAGGTAGAAGAAGGCACTTAGATGAGAGCTAGAGTTTATATTTTGTGTTCTACCTACTGCTTTATTTCCATCTTGTGGTCCAAGTGATGAGCGTTGGGGATTCTCTGGGCCAGGGAAGCATGAAAGCCAATTTCCTTGTCATTAAAAAGAGAGGGGTGGGGGAAAAGGAGGAAGGTACTTGGTTAAAACATGCATTGGTAGAAAGCACTTTTCAGCTTTGGAAATTAGAAAGTTAATCTAAAAGTGCCTCAGAAGACTTTGTGGGCTTTCTGCTCACAACTTCTTTACCCAATAGCCCTACAAACCCTGTGCAGAAGTTTAGCACTTCTGGGAAGACAGCTTCCCCAGACCCCAAAGCTGAGCAGTGCTGACTTATAATTTATACTTAGCATTTCTGAGTGAAGGAATCCCAAATACCTAATGGCCAGAAACCTTCATTCCATGTATGAGGAAACAGAAGGCTGGAGAGGATAAACACCTTGCCCAAAACCCCAGCCTTCTCAGAAGAGCTGGACCCAGAGCTCCAGCCTCCAGCTTCCAGCCCAGGCTTCTTGCCACTGTGGCAGAACTTGGCTCCTTCAGCAACTGGAAGCACAGCTTCGGCTGTGCCCCAACAGAGTCTACACCGCAATCTTGTGCTTTGCTCACAGTTTAACTCAAGCGCTTTGTTACCACGTTCATCTGACCACTATATCTCTGATACTCTTTATGAATAACACACAGGAAAAACTGCCAGGAATGCTCTTGTCTGGTAGCACAATTAAGAGAAGGGCCCCAGAACTCTAGTGCTGCGACTTTTACACAAAAATTAAAAGTTGGGGTGGGAGAAAGAGCAGCTGAGACTGTCTAAAGGCAAATCCTTTTACAACTAATACCAGCCTAATCATATTAGGGAAAAAATGGCCCAGAGATGCAAGAATGGAGAACAGACATTAGCAATATTCCCCAAATAAGGTCAGCATGGATGCCGCACTACACTTACCAGGTTGGGTAGGGTAGAAGCAAGCGAGATATCAGAAATCAGAAAGGGTTGGCCAGGCGCGGTGGCTCATACCTGTAATCCCAGCATTTTGGGAGGCCAAAGCAGGTGGATCACCTGAGGTCAGGAGTTTGAGACCAGCCCGACAAACATGGCGAAACCCCGTCTCTACTAAAAATACAAAAATTAGCTGGGCGTGGTGGTGCATACCTGTAATCCCAGCTACTTGGGAGGCTGAGGCAGGAGAATCACTTGAACCCGGGAGGCAGAGCTTGCAGTGAGCTGAGACCATGCCACTGCACTCCAGCCTGAGCAACAAGAGCAAAACTCTATCTCAAAAAAAAAAAAAAAAAAAAGAAAAGAAAAAAATCAGAAATGGTGACAAAGCCATGTTCAAAGGCACCACGTGGGACTCTCCTTGCTGTTGACTGCATCAGTCTGATGTCTGAGCCTCATCGATGCCATATCACTACTGTTCTTTAAGATTTGTGGTGTACTAGACTCACAAAGGCCACTGAGCTCGAAAGCACAAGACCTGGGTTTGAGCACCAGTTCTGCTGTCCATGAGCTGGATACTGTGAGTAAAGTTACTTAACCTCTCTGAGCATCTTTCCTCAGCTGATAAAAAAGTTGTGTTGTCTGCCTTCAAGGGTGGAGCCCTGGACCATCAGCAGCAGGATCATTTCTACGTCAAAAAGCACTCCCGGGGCTGGGCACAGTGGCTCACACCTGTAATCCCACCACTTTGGGAAGCCAAGGCTGGTGAATTACCTGACGTCAGGAGTTCTAGACCAGCCTGGAAAACATAAAGAGACTAATCTCTACCAAAAACAAAAAATTGTTTTTAATTAGCCTGGCATAGTGGCAAAATGTGGTATCATTTTTCCCAAGGCCAACATTCCTTTGCTCCTGTCTCTTATACACATCTAGATGTGTATAAGAGACAGGTGCAGATACAGAACACTGCCATCATTCGAGAACTTCTTTCGGACAGCACTGTTTTAGAGGGTTCATATTACAAGGGTAAAGGCAGCTAATCCAG